TTCCGTAAAGTCAGGGCCATCAAGCCTTTTTTTTTTTTAAATCTAACCCAGTGTCCTTGCTAGGAGAGGTGGTAAGAGCACCCCCCCTAGCAAGAGAGTACAAACGTAGAATGGTAGAAGCTGGAACATCAGCATGTCTGTTGCCTCCATCCCACAAGTGTGGATTCCCCACATGTGCACATGCAGACGCAGTATGTAAGTGAGTGTCGACAATGATAACTTCTTGAGTGAAGAGGATTGCGCGGGCTGGTCGGCAAGGCGAACCTCGGCGCTGCAGAGAGCGTAGTTTCTGGACTTATATAATGGATGATGGCTTTCATTTCCTCCTTGCTTGAGAGAGCGAGTGTGTGTGTATGCACTTTCTTCTGTGCAGTGTGATCTTACACCACTTGTGTATCGAATTTTTTTATTTTTTTTTCTTGTGAATGAATGGATGGATCTACATGACAACCCAAACAACCCCCCTTGTCTCTTTATGCTTATCCCTTCCTTTTCTCTCCTTGTTACTCAACCTTGCCTTCCATCCTACTTGCTATTATTCTTCAGTGTTTGGTGTCTCAGAAGTATGAACGACGTGCATATTGCCATACGTGCTGTTTTGGTAGTTGAGACTCACAGAAAACAGCTACAAGAGAGGAGAAGAGGAAACACACATAAAAAAGAAGAGTTGGAAGTGCAAGAAAGCTGAAATCAAGAATTGTTGGTTGATTAATTGATTGATTGAGTGAGTGAGTGATTGATTGAGTGAGTGACAACCCATGTTGAAGGAACTCGGCAAAATGACTTTGTAACTTGGGGAGAAGGAGTGCATTTCTTTGCAAAACCAGCAAAAGTGGCACATAACACGGGGTAGCGACTGTTTATTAAAAACACGGGGTAACACGATGTTGACTGAGTGACTTAGAGACTGAGAGACTGAGAGCCTGATGGACGAATGGACCTACCGACCGACCGACCGACTGACGGACCGACAGATCGACGGACCGACGGACCGACGGGGCCGACCGACCGACCGACCGACGGGACGACGGACGGATCGGCGGACCGTTGAACCGACGGAGTGACGAACCGACGAACCCACTGATGGACCCAGTGACGGACCGACTGACGGAGCGGCGGCGGATGGAGGGACGGACGGATTGTCGGACCGACCCTCAGACGGTTGGACGGAGGGACCGACCGGCCGACCCACGAACCGATGGACAAGCGAATGGAACTGACGGATCGACCGACGGACACACACACACACACACACAC